CACCATATTCAAGCTACATGGCTTTTTAGAATCCATTGTCAGTGATAACGATGCAGTTTTTCTGAGTTCTTTCTGGCAGGAACTCTTTTCCATACATGGTGTACAGTTACATACTTCCTCAGCTTGCCGGCCTCAATCTGATGGTCAAACTGAGGTCTTGAGTAGGTGCTTAGAAACCCATTTAAGATGCTTTTGTAATGAGGAAACTATTGACTGGTTTTCATACCTAACTATGATAGAATATTGGTATAATACATCTTACCACTCTGCTATCAAAAACTACTCCATATGAGGCACTCTATGAAAGACCACCTTCCCTACACTTGCCTTACTTACCAGGTGAATCTGCATCAGCTGATGTTGATCACACATTAATAAACAGAGAATTCAAACTGCATCTGCTAAAACATCAATTAATGAGAGCCAACTTAGAATGAAACAACAAGCTGACTCTTATAGGAGTGACATGCAATTTGCAATGGGAGATTGGGTGTACTTGAAGGTCCAACCTTACAAATAGGTTACCCTATCGACTCAACCATTTCGCAAACTGGCTGCTAAGTACTATGACCCTTTTCAGATCATTAAAAGGGTAGGGTCAGTAGCGTATACGTTTATTTTTCCTCCCTCGGTCAAAATACATCCTACTGTTCATGTGTCCCTATTGAAAAAAATGCTATGAAGTACTAGCTCAAATCTCATATCCTCTTGTCACTGATATTGCTAGCCCACATTATCCAGATCCTGAATCTATTCTACAAATGAGGATGGTAAAGAAGGGTAATAAGGCAGCCGCACAAGTGTTAGTCAAATGGGCAGGTTTATCAGCATATCATGCTACTTGGGAATACTTTATTGTGCTCAAGACTAGATTTCTAGCCTTCGATCCTTGTGGTCAAGGATCTTCTATAAGGGGGAGTATCGATACATAAATATAGCTTTCGAAGTTCTGATACAGTTAGTTACATAAGTGCCACGTCAGCAGAGTTGTTAGTTGTTAGTTAGAGTAGTTATGGTAGTTAGTAAATCTGTTAGCTAGAAGAGAAGAGGGAATCAACTGAATTGAGTGAACTTGTCTAAATCAATGTATCTTATGTATTACAATCATCAATATACATATATTATAACTTCTCTCTCAAATCTTCTCATTTCTCTCAAATTCATCTTTTTCTTCCTCCACGATTGCTGACTCTTTCGAGCTTCTCAGTAAAGCTCCTAGCTCAGCTGCTTAGTCCTCGAATTCTTCAGTGAATTCCTGTAATTAAGCTAACATGTAACAAGTCAGACAACCCAGTTTTTATCGATCCTCAATGCAGATAACGAATAGGGAAAATCAAAAAGAAAAAGAAAAAAAAAAGTTAGACAACTAGTTCGCCTGGTGGCAGGATTGAGGCAATCAGGTGTTGAGTAGGGGTGGGTATTCGGTACTTCGGTTCGGTATTTAAAAATTTTGGTTCAGTATTTGGTTTATCAATTGTGTATATTAAATACCGTACCAAAGTAGTTCGGTATGGTTCGGTATTTCTTACTTTAGTTCGGTACGATTTCTCTTTGATACATTAACAGAATAGATGATATAAATGGAGTGGATTGGACGTTTGGACACGATGTACTAAGCTAGTTGCTGCCTGCTAAAAGAATTCATGTTTGATATGATATTTGGAAGAAATAGAGTAACGGCAAAAGTGCAAAACCAACATTCCAAGCATCTGCCATCTATGATCTAACAGGCATCAACAAAAATCAGCCAACTAACAAAAGTATGAAACAGAGCATACAAGACATTGCATCTTCCTCATCTCCTTCCCTTAATTACGATGAAATATTACAAATCCCCTTCTTCCTATGGTAAAAGTAAGGAAGAGTTAGGGCGAAGACCTTAAACCTCAGACCATGAGCAAACAAGCAGTCGCCGCCGAGGAGAGGAGTCGTCGTCGCCGAGGTCATGAAGCTATTGTAGTCATGAGTCGTGAATCAGCAGCAACCAAGCAAAGTTGAAATTTTTGAGAGAAGTCTAGGTTAGAAAATAAAAAGGGAAATGGGGTAAGAGCAGATACTGCTCGTAAGTCTGCCTCTAAGGGATTAGGGAATTAGGGGTCTTAGGGTGTGGGCTTAGGCTTATTGGGCTGGAAAATAAAAATAAAGTTGGGCTTGGACTAAAATATTTCGGTATACCAAAATACCGTAATATCAAAAACCCAATAGCGAATACCGTACCGAACTACCGCAATTTCTGTACCAAAATATATCGAAATACCGAAAAAATCGAAACTGAAATACCAAATTAATTCGGTTCGGAATTTAATTTTTCGAATTTTATGCACACCCCTAATGTTGAGTACGGCTCTCAAGTGTTGGATCGTAACAGTCAAGCGAGTTGTAATTGATTGAATCTCAAGCTTGACATACTAAGTCAACCTTAGCACAATATTATGAGTCATAGAACCACAATTAGTTAGTCAGACATCAAAATCCGAATGGTCGGAAAGACTTTGTAGACAAATGAACTAATTAAAAGCCAATACGAGCCATTAGCTGGCTTATCGAAGAATTGTTTTTTTCCAGTTTACTAATGAATTTATATTTCTTTTCCTTTTCTTCACTAAGTGCCTAATTTTTGTTGGAAATTAGAGATCGGACTGAGTGATACATGGCATATTAGGTAACATACAAAGAGAGGCACATTAAGTGGTGTTGATACTATTTTTTCTATCACTTTAACCGAAAGGCATTCTCATTCTATATTTAGATTAGCATAACTACATTAGCTCAAGGCAAAAGGAAAGATATATTGATTTGTCGAAGGAGAATTAAAGACTAGTTGTATGTTGGTTGTAATTATTAGCCTAGGGATATAAATAGGATCCCGCAAAGCTATTAACAAAAGAAAAGCTAAGATCTTGACATTTTTATCACCCTATTAACTTTTGCTTGCCTAGCCTTTGTTTAGTAAGTAAATATTACTACTATTTCTTTAATGTGAAATCAAAAAGCTTTTGATTGTTCACACTATGTGGTTGTAGTTGGTGTGTACAATTTGATCGCCTCTAATGATTCTAGTTTTAGTCATTTATTGTTACGATTTTTCCAAGAAATACATCTAAAATAAACTACAACATTTGTTTCCTATTCAAACAAAACACTACTTTGAGAGAAGGAAGTCTAGATTGAAACTAACATGTATAATATGGAAAATATTTCCAAAAAGAAAGGACTATAAGTAGGAAAAGCCACGAAGAGTTGTTTTCAGAAAATAGTAGTAACTTGAATTGGCATGGTAGTCAAACCAAAGTTTGATCCTGCACCGTATTGTTTTGTCAACGAACAAAAAAAAAGGGTACAATTAGATGAAGAAAGAAGATTCTACCAATAAATGTCTATTTTGTTTTTTATTTCATTATGATTGATGAATGAATAGATATTCTGAATTTGGGATTCAAACTAACCGAAAGGAAGCTTAAGTATTTACCGAGTTTAATTTATTTGCAACCCCCCCCCCCC